TAATCAGAATCTTTCCTTTCCTTCCATTCCATGGAAAAGAAGAATTTCGATTGGTCGATTCCCTTATGCACTATGCATTATGCGTTATGCAAGAGTCTGTGCTTCGGCCATTATCTGATAACATCGTGAAACGCGGTCATAGGTTATATTAAACTAAGCAAACCTAAGTGAGGTTATTGATGTATTTACAATAACGTTGACGAGTATCTGTATTTGCAAAGAACGATTTTCATCCTCCTATCGACGCGACTTACTCTCGGAGAGCAACAATGGATTTCCAAAATCGTCCTGGCGGCAAAACTGGCGGCGGCGGCGTCGCCTCCTGGTCGGAGAGCAATCGCGACCGCCGGGAGCGTCTCCGTCAGCTCGCCCTGGAGACCATTGATCTAAACAAAGATCCGTATTTTATGAAAAATCACCTGGGCTCGTACGAATGCAAGTTGTGTCTCACTTTACATAACAATGAGGGTAGTTATCTAGCGCACACCCAGGGTAAGAAACATCAAGCCAATTTAGCCAGGAGAGCTGCGAAAGAAGCCAAGGAAGCGCCACAAACCCTTGCACCAGAGAAGCCCCGGGTCGAGCCGAAAAAGTTCGTGAAGATCGGTCGACCTGGTTACCGAGTCACCAAGCAGCGTGACCCGGAGTCTGGTCAGCAGAGCCTGCTGTTTCAAGTAGATTACCCAGAGGTGGCGGACAATGTGATACCGCGACACAGGTTCATGTCCGCCTATGAGCAAAGGGTCGAGCCACCAGATCGCAAGTGGCAGTATCTGCTGTTTGCAGCTGAGCCGTATGAGACTATCGCCTTCAAAGTATGATTATTTCTGAAGATGTTTATTAACATCAGTATTATTAAATTACTTGTTGATTTTGCAATATTACTTTTAAATCACTTAATTAAATTAGAACAAATAGAATTTTCTTAATCATCCCCCCCCCATATATATTTGACTTATCAGAATAGCGCAAGTACAAGTGAATAGTACAAGTAAATCGAAACATATCCAAGACCGGCAAACAATCGGCGTAGAGTTTACATGAACTGATTGTAAAATTCATGCAAAAATATTGGACAAGATCCATTTTGATTAAATGTAGCCCTTTTCATTTATTTGTGTGCTTATTTCTATATTCTCACACCTTTTTCTATTTGAATATTAGGTCATTCATTCCATTGAATACGTTTGAATAATTTAAACAGAAACTTTTATTTGTTTAATATAAGTGATATTTAAAAGTAGTAATAGTAGAAAAGCTTTTCTTTATTCACATAATCAATGTTACAGGTTCCTAGCAGGGAAGTGGAAAAGGCAGAGGGAAAGTTTTGGACTCACTGGAACAAGGACACAAAACAATTTTTCTTGCAATTTGCATTTAAGAACGAGAAGCCGTCTGTGGGTAAAGTACCGCCACCACCAGTTCCTCTGATAAGACCAGGATTAGGCCCGATGGTGCCTGTTCCACCACCTCCGCCCAGACCGCCTATGTTTAATCCGGTACCACCGCCGCCAGCTCTCTTGGCACCTGGAATGCAAATACCTCCACCACCACCTCACTTAGCATAAGGAATCTGGCGGGATGCGCAACATATTTATATAAATTTTTTTCATGTTAGTGTTTAGATCTTTGCTACCAACATGTTATAAGGGATTGATCTTATTCTAAATCATGAAACTTAAGAATGTATGTTTGGCTTGTGTAATATAAATGAAGATCTAACTATAATTCTAAAACAAATTGTAAAAAAGGAACGAGAGAAATATGATTAAAAAAATGTTTATTTATCATTTCATCGAAATACATTCTCTGTAAATTAATGCTGATCGTCTATTTCACAGATTTCATCAAAATTTGAGTACTTGCAAGATACACGTTTATGGAGAGATTGATATTCTGAAAACAAAACGTATAAATTAGCATTTTGTTTATATAAAATAATATTTAAAAATATTTTATAATAATCAGAATGCAACATTCAACAGGAATATAAGTGTTGTACAGTACTTTTCAGACCGCCCGTTGCTGAATCATCATAATAACAAAGATATCATTGAAGAAAAAGTTTAAAGGAAAATTAACATACTCAATGATTACGCGCACAAAACACATGTCCCACCAACTGCCTTGATCTTGTCCTCTGCCTGTTTACTGAAGAATTTAGCTTTTACGATAACAGGTTGCTTTGGCAGACGTCCCTTTCCTAGGAGTTTGTAATATCCCTGAAAAAAGTTAATATTGATCAATAAGTATTTATATACTTCACATGCTGAAATACAAGTGCAAACACGATTGAATTGTCGTGTTTTATTATACAATCTTTTTTTAAATATTTTATAATCAGAATGCAACATTCAACAGGAATATAAGTGTTGTACAGCACTTTTCAGTCCGCCCGTTGCAAATCATCATATGAGGAAATATAAATATTTAAAATAAAATATAATACACTGAAACTTTAATAGTGAACCTCACAACGCTATTATGAAGTTCCAGTGTACATAAAATTGACATTACAAAAAAGTCTATCACTTACCGCTTTTACAAGATCGATTACAGGCGCTTTGCCTTCAACATCTTTGTACTTCAATCTCGTCTGTTCAGAGACCAGAGTCCACAATTTGTCTAGGTTTATAGTGGGACACCATTTGGTGTTGCGTCGTAGATGATAATTCCTCATACCGAGCTATAAATTGAAGAAGTATCAATTAGTCAATTTGATGTAAATTTTCAAATAACATATTTATATATTAGAAATTATTCAGATTATACAAATACAATCAATATGATTCAGTTCGCCGGTGAAAATTGAAATCTCATCATTTGATACATAAGATCTGTTTTTTTTTTAGCTGAACTTCTTGCATTGTTCGTCTCATCTCTTTATTTTTTTCCAACATTGAAAGAAAAAGAGGAAAAGTGAACCATGCAAGAAGCTAAAAAGAGCTATAGCTATCTTTGTAGTGCAACATCATATAGATGTATTCTTACCTTTCCAAAATAACCAGGATGATATTTGTCAAAGTTGATTCGGTGATGGTGCATACCACCGGCGTTACCGCGACCACCTGGGTGCTTTCTATGTTTGCCTAAAAGATGACAAATAAAAAAATATATAAATCAATATATTAATGTATCTATATCTATATAAAGAGAGAAAAATATTTATATCAAAAGTTAAATCAAAATACAAAAGTCAAGATGTGTGATAGAAGAATATATATACAATAATAATCATATATATACATACAAAAAATGGAGCATTTTTTTATTTCATCTAAAAACTTTGATTGATAAGAACTCTAGTTAAAATTTTGCAAAGAATATTCTACATTAACAAAAAATTAATTTCCTTTTTTCGAAGACAAGGATGTGAAATTTTAATCTTAAATTCATAATTATATATCGTGCTATGTTTCATTTACTAGCACCATTTATTATATTACTAATACTATTTTATTTATTTTACGCACATGTTACAGCTACAACAAATTATACCGGGTAAACTTACCAACACGGCCGTGGCCATGGCTCACGTGTCCACGTAATTTCCTGGTCTTCTTCTTGTGTGTAGACTAGGTAAACATAACAAAGTAATGCAAAAGATTAACAATACACAATGATGACTAACGTTAAAATTATCGATTGATTCGAAAACTGCTTTCGATTATGTTATTCAATACGAAATAAGGATCGTTTAGGTTAACATTATCCGATCTAGTAAAGATATATCGTAACATTCTCTTCGCGAGTGTAATAAATGCAGAAAATTATCCACGATGACCTTAATTGTATGTTTAATGGAAATAAGTTATGAATAATGTGACGATGTCTTCGATATCGCTGGATTACTCTGGAGATAGCACGATACAAAAGCACTCACCATCCCGAGGAAGTAATGAAGGAAAAGTTGGGAAAAGTCGTAACAGTCCTGCCAATGCAAATCCATTAAAATGTACATTACGCATGCGCATTGGAAAGCTCCGCCAGTTGCAAATTGACGGAAATGCTTCAAATGTGACGGTCAATAAGGTAGATTTGCGCCAACTTACAACTGATTATCGTCTGCCGCAAAAGAACCATATTTGATTAAAAAAATAGTGTATTTTCATTTTCTTTGAATTGTATCAATATATACTGCATACTTCATTTATTAACAAATCTTCCTATTATTATTTTATATTACTGTAAGAAGTGATATAAAATAATAGAAGAGTTCCGTTAGTTCACATCTATTTACATTGGCCAGTGCTTAGTAATTTCCCTGTGTATACACACACATATACACACACATACACACATACACATACACATACACACACTACCAATGAGAATATTTTATATTAAATTTGCCACTTTTTTTAGTAATGTGGACAATCGAATCGTCAATAAGATATGTATAAAGTTAGACACGTTAATAATGATTAAATGATGTATTAACAAAATAATTAACAAAATTATTGATAAAACTGGTTGAAAAAAATTAATACATAATTATATAAACATTTTTTTGTGTAAAAAATGTAAAAGTTACAATTATTTTTACACTCAAGACAGATGTGTTGCATAAAAATATTCCATTTTTCCTAAGAAATAAAAACATATAACAGACAATTGATTGGATGATATATTCTTACACAAGAGCTAAAAGTGAACAAAGAAATGGAGAATAAGTATAAATTTAATATTTATTTTCAATTTATGGTATACCTATATAATACCTATACATAATTTAATGATTCGTAGTAAAAATATTTATTGCCTATAAAGCTGTTAATTTTTATCAAATCTTTTAGTTGGCGTTAATGAAACTTTGGCGGTGTCAGAGTTAACTCTCGTTTATGCAACTTATCAAAATGCACATTTCGATGTGGTTATGTACTTTACGATATGGATAACCTGGTCCCAGATGATTCTAGTATGTCTTCGCGCGTTGTCTCAGAGTTGTTTGGATATGTATATATCCATTGTTTTAATATTAAAATATGTCTTTTCATACACTTCATATGCAACCTATAATTCTCCTTTGCCCAGTATCCTCCAAGTCTAAAAGGGATATTATTTCTTTTAAGTATATAAAATTAAAGCATAGAAAATAAAAAAATATTCGAAATGGTTAATAATAGCGCTATATAGGATTCGATGTCTTCATAAAAAGCTTTTGATAAAAAGACAAAATATGAATTATAATGAAGAAATGAATGAAAATGGATAATAATATAAGCAATATCGATGTAAAAGAGTTACATGATATAAGCTAATAGTTTTAATTTACAGTCCGATATATGATATATTTCATACGAATATACATATATATACACACACACATATATATATATATATATATAATAACCTTTCATATAATCTTTATACCTTGTTTATACTCAAGATGAAGTATTTAACAAAAAATAAGCTTTTCCAGAAATGAAAATATGATGTACAAAATTTATAAAATCTTACGATCGTAATACGATCATTAATATCATTAGTCGAGTTAGACTTACAAGTTAGTTTAGATGATTACCCGAATGAAGCTTTAAATTGTGGTTAGAATGTGGGTGAGTTCAAGTTAGGACTGCCCGGTGTTGACGAGGGCGTTGATGGGGTACCTGGTGGTGACGCTTCCAATGGACAAACCAAATTGCCGAAATCCATCTCGCTTTTACTCTTCTTGCGTTTCAATGTGAATTGAGATTTCTTTGGTACCTAGATAAAATATAATAATCATTTACTGTTAAAAAGTATTAATATCGTGATAAGATAAATATATGAAATAATTACAAGATTGCAAGATTTTATCGTATTCTTCAGCAGAAGATAACGAAAAATATAACGCACCTTTAATCTAGCGGTAAGCGTCAATGGAACGAATCCAAGCGTACTCTCTATCTCTCGCTTTTGTTGAACTACCTCTCTGCCGAGAATCTGATTGAAATGTGTCGTTAGGTGTCTACGAAGTAGAGTCTTTGCCGGTGGAATGCTGAGCAACGTAGCAAGCAGCTCGGAAGTAAATCGACCTTCATGGATTATCAAACCGCCATGAACACCAGAGCCGCGCATGTTCGGCGCGTACTCTGCAAGATCCACGACTCGTAGCCATTCCATTACACGATGATTTGTCCAGAGACTCACGTTTGTACCATCGGCACCATTCCCAGTCATAGATCTTCTTTCCAAATTGTCAAACTCGAAACTCAAATCTCGTAAAACCTACACGATTTGCATCTCGTTTCAAATATTGACTCAAAATTGATGGTCGATATCCCATAGAACACAAGCTAACAGTAATACCACATCAATATTATAATTTCTCACTCAATAATATAAATATATGTTATAATACATGCTGTACATAACAGTTATATTGTTGAGAAGGAAATTATAACATTGACGTTACTGTTAGTGTTCTGCGGACAATATCATGTAGCTCTGAATATAAAAGTTTATGCTATTAATCATAACATTGTACGTAACAAAGTACCTGAATTCCACGTCTTAAACTGGCGGCGTGCAACTGTGCAGTCACTCCAAGGTTTAAGAGATCCTCTGTGGTCAATCTATGTAAAACTCTACCATCGATCTTGGCATTGTGGAAAGCTTCCTTGTGCTGCGGCAGTCCAATATCGTCTAGCCACCGTAACACGGCTGCATTATCCATCTGCGAAATATTAGAAAAAATCTTTATTCTCAAAGAGATTTTCTCATCTAAGAAAATCTGAGAATGAAGTATCTTCATTCTCAGATAACTCGAAAA